GTGCTGTCAACTCGACAGCAATGGCCAGTCGTTTCAGTTCTCCACCACTGCATCGACCGGTCTTTGTGTCGATTGTGTCCGCAATCATCAGTGAAGACATAATCGCCGACACATTCCTCTCGTGTGAGAAGTGCTCTTCTGATGAGTTCTTCAGTTTCGAGGCGTAAATCATGTTTTGCTTTGCAGTCAAACCCATAATCAGGAAATCCTTTTCGTTGAGGCCGATAAAAGCGGTCCGTATTTTGCGGTCACGACTCACACGTATGGCTGACTCGCGATCACCACTACTATCACCACTACTGGTCATCAGTGGCCCTGACATCACATCTGCGAAACACATCAACAGTGATGTGAGTCCCGCACCGGACGGACCCATCACTGCTGTCATTGCGCCCAACTCTGAGCCCCCACTCAACCCATTCAACACTATTCTCTCATTTCTGGCAAACAATGACCGATACTTTACCCCCAAATCAATCCAAGCTATCGCGTAGTCATTACAACTCATTGCACTTTATATTTAAATTCATTATCAAAATGTCTATTACAATATTTAACAGCAAGTGCTCTCTTTATTAGTTTTAATGAATTCCTAAAACATACGATTTTTATAATTAGATTAAATTAAAGTCATATATTAATACTTATTTGATTATGTTTTCAAATAAACTAAATTGCAAATAATTTGCGACTGGGTAAAACACTTATAAAATTAAAAATAATTAAGATAATTCATCCAAATTAATTTTAATATAAAATATACCCACTATTACACAATTAAGCAAATTTTTATAAATTTACAACGACCACTTTGACCACAATGCATTATTCAATGCGCCGATTCATACACCTAGCTAACGACTCTATGTATAACCGCCTATGTATAAGTGCTTTATGTCTCAATTTTGGCCATAAAATTATCAATTAAGCTCTCGGTTAGAGGCTTTTCCAATATGTGAGCCCGACAAAATTGCGCACATTGTTGGCCCATGGCATTTTCATGGTGTGCATAGTGTATTCCGCATCCCGAATCCATCCTGGCCAGAGTAATGGAGTGTGTCCCGAGCCTCTTGTTTGACCGAATTAAATAATGCATTGTGGTCAAAGTAGTAATTGAAAATTTATAAAAATTTGCTTAATTGTGTAATAGTGGGTATATTTTATATTAAAATCAATTTGGATGAATTATCTTAATTATTTTTAATTTTATAAGTGTTTTACCCAGTCGCAAATTATTTGCAATTTAGTTTATACGTTATAACTTATAAGTTAGTAATGTAAAACCTTATGCAATTCTTGTTAAACTTGATTAAATTTTGTTATTACTAATAACTTATTAGTAATAAATTCATCAAGCTTACAGAATTATGTGATTTTAAAAGTAGTGGTTTAAGCCATTAGATTATTTTTACCATGTAAATATTTTAATATAAAAATTAGTAAATTTAATGTTGATTATCAAAGTCTATTAAATGAAATAATACTGTAGATAATAATTAATATGTAGTTTATGCAAAACAATAATTTCATTAATTTCAAAATAAAATATATAAATTTTTAATAGTTATTTGAAATGGTTTTATAATACATTGTAATTGTTGTATAATTGTAAAATTCATAATTAAAAATATTGTTTAATTATATTTATAAGATTGCTATAATGTTTAAATCAACAATAATTGCTTACAATTATTAGTTAATAAATGACAATATATTAAGATTAATGTCAATTCTTATTTTGATTTGTAGTCAATAAACTTGTTACCAGTAATTACCATTCATTGAGTGTTACCAGTCATTGAATTATGATTTAATGAAAATATGTTATTCCATGAATTTATAACTTATGTAAAATTGTAATAATTTCTGTTTAATATTTCATCACTACCACAATTTTAGTAAGAATAATACTAAATTATAAATAATTTAATTTTATAATAAAAATACAATTTATTTGATTTAATTATTCTGAGCGCTTATTTATTATTATCTATGATCTACAATAGTTGTCCTTATGTTTACTAATGAATACAAAATGAAAATTTATGGCAATATGTTAATAGTATTGTTGCTCTTATACTTATTAATTAAATTATGGTATAAATTAAAACCTAAAAAATTGCTGAGTTCAATGGGTAAAGCAGTGTTAATAACGGGTATGTTATTAATTAAATTAGTAATGCATTTATTTTCAGTTAATAAATATTATATTATTATATTTTCAAATACATGTCATTAACTACAGTACCATATAATCAATAATTTAATAAAATTACAAATTTTTTAATATTCTTACAATAATGAATTCATTTATTGATTACTTTATAGGCTGTGACACAGGCCTCGGCCACCACCTGGCGCTGCGTCTCAATGAACGCGGGTTTAGAGTCTACGCGACCGTCGTGTCCGAGTCCAGTGCCGGCGCACAGCAGTTGGCCTCTAAGGCACAGTTTGCCCATAAAATGCATGTCATAGGCATGGATGTGACCAAAGATGATCAGGTTAACAGTGCGTATGAACATGTTAAATCGCATTTGGACCAAAATGGTGATTGCTTGTGGGCGCTGGTAAACAACGCATGCCTTACAGCCGATAGCTATGTGGAGTGGGGTTCGCCCCAAATCTATGAACCCATATTTGCCGTAAACATGTTTGGAGTAATACGAGTGACCCGTACTTTCCTGCCTCTGATCCGGGCGTCAAAGGGTTAGTTTAAATGCATAATTAATTTTACTACAAATTTTATCTTAAAATTGTTTACTAAATACACTATTTTTATATAAGTTATGCACACATTTCATACACCTGTACAAACTTAATAACTCACTTCACTCATTCACATTACACAACCATTGATTTAGGTCGGGTGGTGAACGTGGCCAGTACTTTGGGTCACATATCTCTCCCATTATTCGCCTGGTATTCAATGTCCAAACACGCGGTCATAGCATTCTCGGACACATTGCGTCGGGAAATGCGGTCATTTGGTGTACGCGTGTCTATCGTAGAGCCCGGAGGGTTTCACACTCCCGGTGCCAACGAGACGCTCAGGTATGACAAGATTTGTCGCACGTGGAGTCATACCAGTGATGGCGTGAAAAACGCTTATGGTCCGAAAAGTGAGCATGATTTTAAAGCTATAATCGCATCGAGTACGGCCATGTTCAAATTGAGCGAGAACTTCGATGTGGCCACAAACGATATGATGGATGCCATACACAACGCTGAGCCCCGCCTCATGTATACGCCCACCGAAAGTGTTTGGGTTAAGATAGTAGTGCAGCTCATGGTGTGGATGCCATCGGCGTGGCTAGATCAAATTGTTCACCTAACTGATCCTCTTAAATCACGTTCATAAATAAATGTTTAATCATGTAATTTTTTATATTTGATTATGATACAGTATTTTATATATATTTTTTCCGTTAAAAATAACTCCGCATACAAATTGACCATGGACATGACTTTGCATTCATACAATACAAGACCTCTTTTTGACTCTCAAATCAATGCAAATCTAACTCTAATTGTTATCAAAAATCAATTGTTAACTTTTTCGACACCTTATTTGAGTTGTCGTATGAAATGAAAACCTAAATCAATGCCAAAGCAGGTCTGAGAAGACATTTGTTTAATCATTTTTTTTCAAGTTATATTTTATACAATAATTAAAAGTAAAAAAGCGTTTTAAATATAGAGAATGAATAAAATATTAAAAATTAATTATTAATTAGATAAAGTTATGTATTTATTGAGGAAAAAGTAGTTGTGTATAAGTTTTTGGCAAAGTTTTAACACTAAATTCAATGGGAAATAACGAAAACCCATTGCTTTTGCCAATAAATCAATGCTTTCTATGAATGAAAACTACATTTTTATGCAAATTTCAATTCAAATAAAGTATTTGATTACGAAATACATGTAA